CGGCCCACCCCCTTCACTCACCCACCTCGACCTGCGCTACAGCGCGCTGGACCTCCCCTCCCTCCGCGACATCCTAACCAGCTGTCCGCGCCTGAAAACGCTGCAATACGCCTGGGGAGGGTACAACGTCGGGGAGGGCGGGTTCGGGCTGGTGGAGGCGGGGGAGGTGGTGGCGGGGTACGGGCCGGCGAGTCTGGGGCTGTTTCGGGTGTCGGTGGCGGACGAGGATGTGATGTGGCCGGAGGAGTGGCGGGAGGAGGACGTGGAGGAGGTGAGGGGGCGGTTGGCGGGGAGGGGGGTGTGTTTTCAGTTTTCGTGGTGGAATATGGATGGGGTGGTGTGGCAGGGGGGTGTGAATGGGTGATTGATTAGGTACCTACTACCTACCGAGGGGGGTGATGATGGGAATTTGGGTGGGGGTTGTAGCGGAAGGTGGTACGGAAGTAGTGTATTCTTGCAGTCAGTCTTGTGCGGTGATCATCAAGGACAGGCAGGATATCATACCGCTTTAGAACAGAGTTGACACCCCAAGTGACAACATAAACAAAACAACGATAATAGGCCCAACTTAGCCAACTCAGTCTGGTTCGCCAACACTCGCGCACCCAAGGTGTGCTTCAACTTAACGTTATGCCAAGTCAGACGTCAGGATTGGTACAAAGTCAAGACGAAGCTCGCTCATGGAACGGGTAGGCCACATTGTCACATGTCACGGATCAGTAGACACCATCACACATCAACAACGTACAAGTGCTATCAAACCAGGCAATACTGCACAATGAATGGAAGACTAAGGAGGGTAGCTAGCTACAAGCCGTTGTCCGGCATTTCGAGCCCGCCCCTCTCCCATACCGCAAACCAGGCGCCCATCGGATGAGGGGAGTCAAAACCCGTCTCCAACGCAAACCTTGTTGCCGTCCCCTCAAAGACCCCCCATACTGGCACGCCAAGGAACCACGCCATCAACACCCAGGTCTGTCCCCCGGCGGACGTGCAACGATAACCTCGGACCGTGCGTGCATGCGTGCATTGATTGCTCTCCTCCAAAAGAAACCTCCGATATCCCAGCTAACCCATCCATCCGCTCATATGGCCGATATCCCCATGCTCCAAACCGCCACGGTCGGTTCGGCTACGGGCTGCCTGTTCCCGAGCCATGAAAAAAAAAAGCACCGCCGAGAGAACGTGGCAAGGTTTGGTTGCTGTTGAGTGCCGGTCAAGGACTGTAAGAATGGAATCGAAGGAGCTGGCCGGGCCCGAGCAAGATCGGACCTGCACAATGCCAGCGCAGTGGAAGAGAGAAAAGTCGGCAGGGTTTCGATGCCGTCGAGAATCGAAGTCGAAAAGACCAAGGCACTGCTCCCCAAAAATGCAACCAAGAATAACACCGTCCTACCGCAAAGGAGAAAAGAAGCAGGGTGCCTTAAACGTAAACCGATTGTCGAACGTCACAGATCCCGGTCGTCTCGAGAAGGGGAGTAGCAAGAAAAAAGACTTCGTAAGGCCGTGTCCGTGCCGAAGGAATAGCCCCGAACCTGGGAAGCGCTGCAACCCAACTTCGAGATAAGGCTAAGGGCGGACGAGAAGGAAACAAAAATATAAGAAACATGGGCATAATCGTGAATTAGCGTAAGGTCCGGCTGTCCGGCTCACCATCCCCCAAACCCCATTGTTGACTAGACAGCGAGCTTCCGCTTCTCGGTGCTGCCCAGGACAAGCCGGGCCTTGCGCTGGACCTCGCCGCCGACCTTGACGGTCCGGTTGCTGTTCTTAAGCAGGCTGGCGAAGCTGCCCGGCGCATTCTCAGAATCGGAGGGGACGCTGTCCACGCTGGACCGATGCGTCTTCTGCCGCGAGCTCGGCCGGTCGGAGCCGATGGCACCCCAGCTGCCAGTGCTAGTTCTCGAGCTGGGTAGGCTGCACTCGTCCCGGTCGATCAGACTGCCCGACCCGCTACGGCCGGAGTCGCTGTCGTTGTCCGTCATGGGCGTCTCGATGAGCTCCTCGGTGCTCTCAGAAATGGGGCTGATGCTGCCAGAGCTCCGCGCTTCCTTGCGACGTTCAAGTCCAGCCCTCACGAGGTTGTGGATGGCCGACCGCCGGGTACGCGTGACAAAGTTCTTGCTACCTTCGTGCTTGGAGGTCGGCTTGGACTTGAGCTCGTCCATCGACGGGGGGTTCCGTGGCTGCCGGACGGGGTGCTCGCCAGCCCGACCTTGGCCGGGCCCGTAGCCAGCGGTCAAAGGTGTGAGCGGGAACGAAGCTGTCTTGGGCCCCGCCGACTTGAGGGGGTCCTCGTTGGTCGCGATCGACAGGTGAGCCTTGTTGGAAACCGAGGGGGCCTTCTTATGACCCCGACGGAAGGCGTTGGCGCTCGGGGGCGGCAGAGGGGCGTGGGTCTCAGCCGGGGAGTCATAGCGGCGCGGCGGTGACGGAATCCGGAAGCCCGATGCATTGGGGGCCGACGGCGGCGGGGAAACCTGGAGGCGCGGGGTGCCAACGGCGGGCTGCTGCATATTGGCGTATGCGTTCGCCAGCTGAGCCTGGTTCGCAAGTTGGGCATTGAGCTGCGCGTGGAGCTGGGCATTCAGCTGGTTCTGGTGGGCCTGAGCTTGGTTCTGGTCCAGATACAGAGAGGGGGCCCCGGTAACAGGATCATAGACGGTGTAGACACCGGCCTGCGGCGTGGCAGGCGCCATCATGGCTTGAACGTTCTGCAGCTGCTGCTGGTACACGTTCTGGTAGCCCTGCTGCATCATCTGGGGTTGACCGTTGATGCTCAGTCCCTGGAATTGCTGGGCAGCCGCCTGCAGAGCCTTGAGCTGCTGCTGGAGACGCTGCTGCTGATCGGACAAGTACGCGTTGGTGTACAGGAGCTGGGCATGGAGGGTAGGGTCAATGTGCTCGCGCGTGTCATCCAATTGTAGCTGCGGGGGAGCCAACACCTGCTCGGCGGTGTACTGCTGATTGAACGCAGCCATCTGCTGGTTATACGCCTGCTGAGCCTGCTGCTGGGCCTGCTGCTGAGCTTGTTGATGGGCTTGCTGCTGAGCCTGCTGCTGGGCCTGCTGTTGAGCGTGCTGCTGGGCTTGTTGGGATTGCTGGGTTTGCTGTTGGCTCGCGAATCGAGGCATCGATGTCTTGGGCCCATACAGACTGGCCGAGTCAAACATTCCGGCGGCCATCGAGTTGCGGTTCCGGCCCTGGGGCATGGCAGTCGTCGGCGAAGGAAGGTTCGGGAAGCTGGCGGCGGTGGCCGACTTGGGCGCAGTGCGAAGACCGGCTAGCAGGTGAGACCGGCTAGTACGCGGTGTTGGCACACCGTCGCCGCGCTCGGCGGGTGATTTGAGGGTGTCAAAGGAAAGCGGCTTGATATTCTGGCCTCCACGCCGGGATGCCAGACCAGAGCCCATGGTCAGGCCGTGGGCCTGGTTGAGATGCGCGTGAGACATCTGAGCGAGACTTCCAGCGTCCATTGCGACGTGATCAAGGCTCAGACGTGACGCGAAAAAAGGTTGTTGGCACAGACGAAGTCGAGGATCGTCGGAAGACGCGAATTCGTTGTTGTGAATATTAGAAAGTATTGATGCAAATGGCCGCGGCAAAGAAGACGTGATCGAACGCTCAACTTGTGGCAACTGAGTCTATTTGGTCTCTCGCAGAGGCCCCGAAGAAACGATGATGAGAGAATGCCTTGTCTCGGACAATCAAATCGAATAATGGGTGTTGGTGAAAAAAACCGATCACCTGAAAATGCGAGGATGGTATTAACGATGTTGCCGAGAGGCTGTGGGTGCTGAATGAGCGTCAAAGTGGGCAAAACGATTGCGGAAGGAAAGAGCAGGCCAGTGTTGCTTGTCGGCGCCTTGTCTTCGATGACCGAGGCAGGCCTTTGTTAAAAGACGCGACTTCCTGGCGATGCTTCGGCTGTGGCGAGAATGCAGACGGGGGTCGAGAATCAAACAGGAAGCGGAGCCGAGTGTGGTGCTTTGTGCTGCAAATGTCGAATCGAACCGTCAAAGAAACAGCTGGGGTGGACCGGGCAATCCCCTCGCGACCGTGAAAGGCACAAATGCCTGGAATTTGTGGTCTGTTTGTGCGAGCTCCGTAACAGTGTGTATTGGTTCTTTCTCGGTCGAATGACAAAATGGGTTCGAGTTGTTTGACTCGTTCGTCGTCTGAAAATTAACCTTTGCCGCGTGTCGAATAGAGACGAAAAGCGATCGGCCCGGAGCTTGTGGCAATGGCAACGAAATGGATGATATGTGCGCAAATAGAATACAAGGATTAAAATGATTTTGTGGTGAGCCTTTCCAGATGCCTCCTTTTTTAATCTTTTTTTTTGTATCGCGATTTGTGCAGTGGGTCGAGTGAATGCGGCGATGATTGGGAAATTTTGGTTGTCAAGCCAAAGAATTATGACGAGCAACGACGGCGACGACGCAGGGACGCACCACGAAGGGAGGAAGAGGGAAAGCACGAAAAGGAAGGGTGGTGTGCTGGTGATGCGAAGAGGAGAGGAGGGAGCAGGAGGAGGAGGAGGAAGGGCTTCGTCGGAAACGAGAGATGAAGGCTGGAATCGATGGAGACTGGGCGAGAGCAGGTGGGGCAAAGGAGCGACCTCGCAACGTGAGTGGTCGGCGAGCTGGGGTCCCGCGGCAGGGGAACCTGTCGCAGGCAAGGGCCGAGCGGATAGCGGGCCACCGTGATTGAATGGAGCACTGCTGGGCCTGCACGCCTGCAGACGGAGAGGGCGAGATGGCGTGTGCGCCATGGCTGCCACGCTGGGGCAAGAGGAGCGATGGGCGAGCGTCCAATCAGAGGGCCAGAATGCATCGCGAATTGGACAATGACATAAGCGGGGTCGCCTCGAGGTTTGCCAAGGTACCGTCTCTGAAAACAGTCACCAGCTTTTAGCTAACAGTTTGTCATAAGAGTACCAATATGGGCTTGTTAGTAACGGCACCCGTGGTGTTATTTCTCCCTGTGTCTCGGGTTACGAAACGAAGGCCAGCGCAACCCGCCGCTAACCCGGATGGAGCAAGGTGCTTTGCTCGCCTGCCCCGAAACAGTCCAATGGGGACTCGCCGTCGCCAGCAAGAAAGCTGGAAGCCCATGCGCTCCAGCAATTCGGGGCAAATCTGGCGGCAGCTTCCTGGTTTTCTTCCGTTACGTGATCGGGAAGAGTCGAGATCGCCGAGCGCCCACTTTCCATCGTCTTTGATCAATTCTGGACTCACCCATCTATTTTCCCATTTTCTCACGAGCCACGCCTTTTTTTTTATTTTTACCTAACCATCCTTTATCTGTGGGAGGCTGATCTGTATCAGAATCGGCCGCTGTCATTCCGACGCCTTTGTTGGCCCGTAAGGCCGGCTTCGAGCTCCATTCTTCTTCACCCCTGTTCGTCCGATGGCATGTCGGGAAGCGCCTCGCTCCCTGTGCCCTGCCAGCGCTTTATCCGAACATTCTGCACAGCACAAGTATGCTCCATTGCTCCATCTTCCTTGCCGCGCTTCCCGTTTCGGCCAGGAACACCACGTGAGGAGCTTAATGTCTTGCCACTATTGCACCAGCATTGATGGTTGGAAATCTTCCAGATTGCGATCCATGCGCGCGGAAGGGGGCTTCCTGGAACTCGTGGCAGGGACGACTCCACAGAAGATTTGCAATCGGGGTCGGGATGGCTTCCTGTTCCTGGCCTCCTGGTCGCCCGGGCAGCCCTGGCGACATGGGCATGGGTCCTGGGCCAAACGGCGAGATGGCCGTCTTGGCAGCAACGAAACTCCGATTCCAGAAGACCTGATCGGGCGACCTTACAAACTGGGGAGATTCTTGAAACGCCAACGAAAGGCCATTGTCAAAAGGCAATCGCGGCAGGCCCCAAAGCAGCCAGCTCTCGAGAAGAACTGAAAGGGTGCCACAGACGGCCACAGAAGGGGGTCACAGATCTGGACCTGGCTGCAACCCCCTGAGCGTCGCACAGGGTTGCAGTGTGGCTGCATCCTCGCTCGTTTGATCGATTGGCCATCTTGCTCCCACCATCTCAAAGACATTGGGCTGTTGTTCTGTGAGCCATCTCACGCGACCCGGAAAGACAGTCGGACAGGCAATCAAGTTGGGCCAACACTTCTCCCAAGGCACCCCAGTCTTAAGAATCGCGGCCAGTGCTCTCGGCTTGCTCTCCCCTCTCCGCGCCGCAAGAGACAGCCGATGGCAACCCCGCAGCTGGCCTGCGATCTCCCCAGGCAGCGCCTCGATGAAACACCACCTGCAGACCCTGCATGTCCGCGCGCATGAATCACTTTCCCAGCCCCAGCCCCGCTGCAACCGTCTTGGTGATGGCGCGCCGGCAAGCCAAGCTGCACGCAAGAGCGCTTAACCGCTCAACCCCAGCGCCGATCTTCAACTGTTGGTTCCTTCCTCAAGACCTTCTGCGCAATCTTACCGACAGGATGGGAATGTCGCCGTTGCACTGGTCATGTCGTGGCATGACACCGCGATTCCGCACTTCAAGGGACAACAAGCACCCACAAACGGTCAACGTGTGAGATAACTAACGCGCTAATGTCTTGGGTTCATGGAGTCTGACCCAGTTTCATACCATAGGCAGCTGGTTACGGCTGCTGCGCCGCGCTTTTCAGCTGTGGGGGACTGTCTTGTTTCGGCAATCACCGCGCTGGGGCAGATGTTCGGACGATCGAGTCGTTGGAGCCAACATCCATGTGGCAGAGCAAGCCCGTTCAGGAATACTCTGCAGCTCTTGATTATGACAGCATCTCATTTCATGCCAGGGCCCTAGCGGCATTGTAGTGTCTGTTACAATCACCAAAGTTACAGGGCAGTTGTTAGAGACAGAGACTCGCACGTCAATGCCAACAATTCTGGGGTCCCCAAACGCCTCGCCTTGTTGAGCTGTTGACCTGGCGCCAACAGCTCCGAGTATGGTGCAGCACCCACACAGTGCCCGCGAAGAAATCGGACACGCCCAGGCGTTCATGCTGCACGACTCCGTTTTGCCACCAGAGTTCATGTTTGGATGGTTTGAGGCCTCGCTACATCTGTCTAGGTAGGTTTACATGAATACTCGAGGGCATATTGCACTGAAACAATTTGGGAAGACACTGCCTGCACCATTGAATGCCGCGTGTTTGCCTGGGGTTTGTCTGTAAGATTTTGAAAGTAGAGCTCCGTCGACAGGAACTAGGTTTGCGAATCCAAGGGGCTCACACAAGCTTGAGTCATGAACGTGGCTGTGAAACCCCATTCAACCGAACGGATGGAAAGAAAGAAATGTTTCTAGAATCACTCGGAGATGAAATTAAGGGCTAATCATCATGCGGTTCAAAAGAATTATTTCTATTCAAGGTTTATGCTAGCACGACGCCGACTTGAGTTGAACCCCTTTTCGCTGGGCCCACCGTTGCGAAGACTGTTCCATGGCTCTTCAACCGAGAGCAAGGAAACCGTAGCAAGGAATCCCAGCGCCACTGTGTATAGTAAAAGCGGTGATTATCCAGTCAACACACACAACTCCACTATGCGCTCACCGGTTTGTAGTGGTATCCACGCCCACAGAGAGTTGAAGCTTCTCTAGCATTGTGCCGTGACGCAATCGAATGCCGCTATTGGCCTTGTGCCGTCGAAAGTGGTTATCATGAACAACCCCTATAGAGAGTGTTAGTTAGTGCCTAGAAGCTTCCAGACGTGACCAAACTCGTAAGATGGCCTAAACATATCCTCCTCCTTCTTACACACTGAATTGGTGTCGCCAATGATCATTTTCATCCATTCAGGTTACAGACCTAAAGCCAACTTAGGGAAACAAGGACGGGAAAATCGTGCGCGTATTTTCGAGCCTTCCTACCTTTTTATACCGTGTCCTGGGCATATAAGGTTTTGGATCAAGCTTTAACCGATTTGACAACCTTAAGATGGACTTCTTCCCAGCGAATAGGTTTCGGGCAACTTAACTTAAGGTTGCCAACAGTAGAGAAAGTCATCGGCAAACGTAACTCCGCACACTTCTCTTCTAGCCCAATGGAGAGAAATTGTCAGCGTGTCGGGTTTGATGTACCCCTGCGTTTCCAGTGATGACAGGCTCTCTCTCTAACGCCACGTCGCCGAGGTCTCCTTCCATCCTGGCCCTACCCCAAGCTTCCATTCAACGTTCAAAAGCGATAGGCCCTGGAATAGTAGAAAAAGTAGGTGACTACTGAGGTTCAACGGGCATTGCGGCCCCCGGAAGCGTTTGTACACTTGGATTTGACACCTCCAAGCAGGTCTCCTTATATGATCAGCGGATAAGGGACCGGGAGCCACCAATTTCGGAGTTGATGTCAGCAATCCGCCTCATCTCATCTCCGCCCGATCCTGCCGGACCGCCGCTTCACGCATGTCATCGATAATCCGGGGTAAATGGAACCAACTCTCACGGGTACTTTTGAGGAGGAACGGACTTGAGCGACTTTCCGTCGGCGCGTAGTGTAGGTACCACGCGGCCGCGTCGTGGACTTAGATGTTTCTCTGTCAGCTCACGGATGAAGCGGAGGCACGTTGAAATTCCCCTTTCATTGAGTTGATCCCTGATCTGGCAGTGACTCCCCTCTCAGCGGCAGCAGCAACGCCAGCTGAGTAATAGATCGAACCCAGGCCCAGAAAGAGTATTCTTGCCATGTTGCTCACACCGACGTCCCTCGGAGCTAACCCCCAAGAGTGATTGCCCCCCAGCGGCTCGCCCCTGTCAACACTGCTTCTCCCAACCAGCCCCATCCATGCCAAACGATTAGTGTACATACAACCAACACGCATCAAAGGCAGCAGCAACCGATCACAGCACCCGCACCCCATAATGGCCGCATGAGCACCATCCCCGTCTCCTCACCAACTCAGGGGGGAAAAACACACAACGCGGCATCCTCACAAAAGGGACTATCTGGTATTATAGTGAGGGTAAATCACCAGGAAGCAAAACCCCGCGCCGCGCGCCCAGGAAGGGGGAAATTTGGGCCTCCCGTTTTTTTCGTTTTTTCCCCCCCCCCCCCCCCCCCCCCCCCCGCGGAGATTTTACCCAGGGTTCCGCCCGGCACGGTTCGGGGGGTTTGCTCAGGTCACGGTTTTTTTCTGGGGCAGCGGCAGCGGCATTCGGCTGTCTTTTTCGGCTGGGGCCGGAGAGTCGCAATGATCGCCGTCAGCCTTGCCTTCCCCCCCTTCCCCCCACCCCCGGGGGATAGGGCTGTGCCGCGCTGGGGCGTATGCATTGGAGAAATTGTTGGCGGACGCGGGAGGCGATATCGATGCCGCGGTGGGGGGACAGGTGATACAGGTGCTCGGCTTCGAGTCCGATATCGTTCGGGGATTTAGGCTCGTGAGAATTGTGACCCTGACGGGGCAGGGAGGTTCGATTTGTTGGAGGGGGGGGGGGTTAGCAGTGATATCTGGCAGCTGAAGAGCCCCCATTTATCCACTAGATTGCTGTACGCACCTGGGTCAGTGGAGGCTGCCTTCGCCGCTACCGTGCAGCAGCGAGGAAAAACGACGAGGTGCCATCTACACAGAAATGGTTGGCTTACAAGTGTGCGGTCTGAGTGGTGTTGAGCACGTGTAACCCACCTAAACTGCGGTGAAGTCTGTATCAATTTGTGCCTGGGTATGGTCGGTTTTATCAAGGCTATGGGCAGTCAAGTATATGGTGATTACTAGGCAGGTTCCAGTCCGTTTGGCTGCTTTGGCATCATGTGAAACCTCGCCGCAGTTGCCTGTCACGGATGTGCCAACGGGCGGAACCACAGGCCAATCGCTAAACAAACCAATCAGGGAACCCACATGAGAGGCTCAGTGAGCTCAGTTGGAGGGTACAACTGAGCACACTGAGCACACAGGACTTAGATAGGTATATAGTCACTCGTTCTGGAGAGCTCTGGGAGTTCTCAAGTTAGCAATCACAACTACAGTTCGCTACAAGCTCGAGAGCCTCCTGTTGAGACAAGCCTTTGTTGTGCACCCTTTGGCTGCACCGAACCTAAGCACCCTTGAGAGACTACCTTCGACCGAAGCTGAACCCTAACAGGACAGGGTCCGGAAGTAGGTTCGTCACATTGCCCCCGCGTGTTACTTACCCATGGTGTGATAGACTTGAGCCAAATTTGCATTGGCGTGGCGGTAGTTCATAGGTGGTTTATAAGTGAACGTTTGTGATGAAAGCCATGATTTTGTAAAACTGTGTCTAACTGTACAGTATCCGTATGTACATGAAGTATTTGAGGGTGCGCCACCAATGCATACCAATGTAAATCGAATAGACAGGATTAGGTATAGAAGTTTGAAAACAGAAGCGTCTTGTGGATGGCATGATAGAGTATTGAAATAGAAAAAAAAAGGAAGTCATGATAATCGTAACCAAAACTAAAAACCACCGCCGCAAACCCTCTCTCTCCAGGCTGTCTTCTCGGCCATTGGACTCACCGGGCACTTACCCAAAGAGAGCCTCGAATCCCAGCTCGCGCGCCCGTCGGTAGTATGCCCAGCAACGGACCTCCCAGTCGGCAGTACCGTGGACGGCCGCCCCAACATTGCAATGCAATAACCGGGTGCAACCACCTGTGGCCCACCACAAGAACCAACAGGTCTCTTAAACGGCCAAACGGACATTGGAAGAGAGCCACAACCCCACTTGACCGATGCGAGTAGGGTCGGTAGGGCCCTGCCTATCGGAGATGCAGAATGGCACTGGATCATGCAGTAGCCGACGCGAGGATGCGAGCAGAACGAACTGCGGCGTGCATGAGACCCACCGCCTGCAACTCAAATCCGACCTCGTCCCGCCGGCCGGTCGACTGAATTATAAGCGAAGGTTTTCCGTTGTTGCGCCAATTCGAGTACCGGTGTGATCTCGCACCATGAGAAAACCATCATATTCAACAGCGGCTGCTCAATACCGAGAGGCTTCCATTTCCACCGGTGGATTCTCCCAAACGGGGCAGCAATGTCGCTGCACGTTACCGCCGCCGATCCTCAAGTGGCACTGTATCCCCATAGAAACCGCCTTGTTCACCGTCCCTCCCCGCAGCCGCAACACAGGCCAGGCATACCCCCCCGCCGTATACCCTGGTATGTCGTTTCCACCCGTGGCCGGCGTCATCCATCACCGATATGATTTCACCTTGCAAATCAATCTCTTGTTGGGATAGGAAAACGCCCGGCCCGCCGGGTCCGCCCACAAACTCGTATGCCGGTGGTGCCGACGGTGGCAGCTCGTATTGGCCCGGCGGCGGTGGTGGGAGGAGGGGCGATGTTGGCGGGTAGCTCGATGGGGAGAATGTGTTCGCTGTGCTTCCCGGAGGTCATCGTCTCCGCGGAAGAGGACCAGACGCCTTTGGCGGCTGGTATCGTGTATGTCGATGGGAACGTTCCTGATGTAGGATCTCCGACGGGGAAAGGTGGTTGCGGTGGGAGGACTCGAGCCGAGCACGTCTGCTGAGCTGGAGGAGGCTCCATACTCTGGGTTCGGTTGATGGATAAAGCTCGTGTCGAGCGCTGGGGGCACCGAGACGGCATAGCTCGGGCGGCGGTCCTCGAAGGGGAAGAAGGCGCCGTCGTGGAGCGTCGGGGGGGTCAAGGGGGGCGGCAGGGGAGGGCGTGAGAAGGAAAAGTGCCTGGGGACGGCGGAGTCCGCGCTTGGCAGGGGACGAAACTGCTCGTCACCAAACTGCAGGCCCAGCGTTCCGTCGCCTCCGCCTTCGGCTATCTCCGTGCCCTCCAAACCATAGCCAACGTGACCGCTGCTCCCGGCCATGGGCGCCATTGCCTTTCCTTTCGATGCTTGACCCCCAATCCCATCTGAGCTGCCACTGTGACGTTTTGTGGAAGACCCTCTTGAAGATGTGCGCGGCGAGCGGCTGCGTCTTGTCCATGCCGTAACCGTCACCGAGCTCGGACCCGTTGTTGAGGGGCCGTGAGGCGGTTTGGGGCTGCTGGTGCTGACACCACGTGATGCTTCCGGTGTTGGCCATGGGTAATGATCCTCCCCTAGCCCATCCTCACTGCCGTCCATCGTGGGCAGCTTGCGGAGACTTCCGAGCTGACTGGGCACAACTCTCAAAGGAACGAACCCCCGCACCAGGTCCGTTCGTGAATCTTGCGCACCCCCTCTAGGCCCGGAAATGGCAGCAAACCGCTCTCGATCTATTACCCCGAGAGATATATAAGTGAAAAGTTGCTTGAGTTGTGCTTGACGTCGAATGGTTGGAGCCCTGAGGCACGGATATGAAGTGGACGTGTGCGGCGAACAAAAATACGGGCGGGCAGCAAAGATAGCAAGGAAAGCGACAGCCAGATATATATGCGTGCTCACTGCCCTGGGGTAGTAGTAGCTCGGAGCTAGGTACCTACCAGTGCTGACATCGAGAGGGTGCTTGATGGTT